CACTCCTCGGAAGGAAGGTTGGGCAATCCTACTTCCGTAGTGATACTGCCTCGGAAACCCAAGGAGGGGTCGCTATGAGTCGGGTTTGACTCGACGGCACGTAACAACAACAACAACAGATAGTACATCTGGTTAAGCACTTGGCTGCTAACTGAAAGGTTGGAAGGTTGAGTCCTCTCAGAAGTGCCTCAGAAGAAAGGCCTAGCAATCTAGTTCCGAAAAATCAGCCACTGAAAACCCCGTTGTGCATACTTCTGCTTTGACCCTCATGGGGTCGCCACAAGTCAGAATCAACTTGATGGCACTGGTAGTAAGAGATGAGTCAGGAGAAAAATTGGATTAGGACTAAAGCAGGGAGAATTTCACAAAACAGTAGGAAGCCATGATTTTTTTCAGTAGGCCGATGACATGATAGTATATTACTGCTTTACAAACAGCAGACTGGAGCCAATTAATGAGTCATACAATTGATTTAGTGGATCAGGGTCCCAACAGAAACCTGATGGTATGCTCAAATTGAAGAAGGTTAATTTGAAGAGAGTTTAGTAAGTGACTGTTTTCAAAGGCATGGTGGGTGGATGAGCAGGAGTGTCTAATGCAGCCTGCCCTCAAGGATATTTGGAGAAAGGAAACAGTTTGTTACTAGGTGAATATACTGATACATGGTTAAGTTTCTGGGCAGAAGGCTTCTCCTTTTCCTCAGAGTTCCAGTAGTCACGTGGTTCAAAGATCTCTTGGCTCTCTATCCTCTTTTGACTGGCCTAGGCATTATGTTGTCTGCTCCTTGGCACAAGTGGGGTATGAAAAAGAAGTGACCAAAACCATCAAATTGTTGCTACAACACCCAGATCAATGCTCTGCTTATTTCTTGCTCTCATTACCCATAGCCTCTAATCTGGGAGCACTTGGGAAGTTGCTCCCAGCCCTTGCTACATTTGTCTCCTATGCTGTGTTTTTTTTTTTGTTTTTGTTTTTTTCAGTGTTGGGGGATGGTTAGAATTATCTTCTTCAGTCTGATCCCTTCTGTCTTCAGGGATTCCTTTTAATGTGTGTCTACTGAGAGGATAACCTTGTTTTTCAGAGATAATATGGCTTAATTTTTTTAAAATTTTACATGTGTTTGCAAGTGTGTGTGTATGTGTATGTATGTGTACATACTCACATAAGGATGTTAGGAGGGATAGCTAGAGCATTGGCTCAGTTTGTCATCTTAATTCAGTATCTATGAAAGCATTTTGTGTTATCTGACTTTTTTCTCCCATTTAGATTACAGGAGCTTATCAGCCAAAAAAAGGCTGAAGACCCAAAGAAAGATGATGAGCCCAGCAAAGATAACCAGCAACAGGCCCTAATTGACAATAAATACTTCCAGGTATTGAACAGCTAGAAAAGAAACTGATATTTATAGTGAGTTTTGGTTTCATTTGCAATGTAATAAATTATCAATTGTAAGGAATAATTGTAGCCTTTATCTGTGTATGCTTATTCTGTTTTATCTTGCCATGACTACCTAGTTGGCTAAAAACATTGTAGGTAGCTCGATTTAGAATTTGTGTTATCCCTTAAAGAGACCTGGCCTAGATCAAAGAAAGGTAGTAAAAAGCTGTTAAGATTTTTTTAAAAAAATGTATAATCCTTTCCCTACTTCCCCTCTTTAAGCCATTTTTCTTTTTATTGTTATTATAAAAGTAAATATATTTTCTTAAGATTCTTTAATGGTTTTATTTTTTATTTAGATATAGTTCATCTGCAATTTAATATTCTAAATTGTGTGCTGTAGGAATCTAATCTTAACTGGTTTTATAGACCATTTATTGAATAGATGAGAGGTTAAACCTGGTTGTTTGCTGGCTGAAATAGCTCTATATTCATTGTGGTGGTTAAGGTTGTGTGTCAGCTTGGCTGGGGCTGGTTGAGTGGCTGGGCAGCTGGTAGTAGTTATTCCCCATGATGAGACTGGCAATCAGCTCCATGGTGGGATCTACCACAAGCAGCTGAGTAGCTGCTTTAGGGATGTGGTTTGCTTCCTGTATATAAGAAACAGCTTTGGGACTAGTCTCTCGCTTATGGCACGCTTGAACCCTGCATGTAGCTGTGTTGTTGTTCAGTAGCCTGCCATGCTTTGCCGACCTTGGGACTTACAATGGACTTGAATCAATGGCCTGCTGTGTTGTTTGGTAACATTAGGGCTTTGCCTTTTCACTTGTCTAACTTGAGCTTGTCAGCCTCAGCAGCCAGCAGCTGTCTGAGTGAAGAAATGCCTTTAGCTTCAGTGGGCCAGGAGCAGGAAGCAGAGCTGGACCCCAAGGTTGAGGGGTGAGGGGGTGTGTTAGACTGGGTTCTCTAGAGAAACAAAAACCAGCAAAGCTTTTATATATATATATATATATAGAGAGAGAGAGAGAGAGAGAGAGAGAGATTTATCTTAGGAAAATGGCTCACAAATGTACAGAAGCCGGCAAGTCCAAAGTCCCTGGAGCACAGGTCAGGCTGGAGGCTTTTCTTAGCTTCTGCAACCACAGGGGGCCGAGAAGCTCAAGGCTGGCAGGCAGTACAGTGGCTGTTGACTCCAACAAATGACGTATCCAAGATCTCCAGGCTGAATGGTGGACTGCTCACTCACAGAAAGTTGTAAGCAGCACAACAGAATCCCAATCCACAGAAGAATGTCTCTCTTCCCAGGATGTCCCAGGATATCCTGGAAGCAGGCCACACCCCTAGGGAAACTCCCCTTGACAGATTGGCCACTCAGAACACAGTCATCCAATCCTGTCATGGGAACAACCACACAGAACGGGTCCAGCGAAGTTGACACACAGCTCCAACTATCACAAGGGGCTTTCACACAGCCCCTAGAGCCTGGCACTTTGAACTTGGACTTAAAGCCTCCAAATTGCAAGAATAAACTCCTGCTTGTTAAGGCCATCCCATTTGTGGTATATTTCCTATCAGAGTGGCACTAGGTAACCAGAACAGCACCTTTCTGAAAACTGGTTTGTTTTCTATGTCTACTCAATCTGAGAAATTTTGTCCTTGAACAGGGAAATTAAACCATTCATGAGCATTGAAATCAACTAGTATATCTTGTTTTATTCCTGACATCTTACTTTCTGTTTTCTATTTACATGATTTCCTGTTCCTTCCCCCCCCCCCCTCCAGGCGGGAGCTCTGGTGGCGTAGTGCCTAAGGCATTTGACTGCTAACCAGAAGGCTGGCGGTTCAAACCTACCAGCCACTCCTCAGAAGGAAGGTTGGGCAATCTACTTCCATAGTGATACTGCCTCGGAAACCCAAGGAGGGGTCGCTATGAGTCAGATCTGACTCCATGGCCGTGAATTTGGTTTTTAGTTTTGAAGTGGTTAGGCAGTTGATCATCTTAATTCTTTCTTTACTGCTGATAATTACACATACACACACAGACACACACATATCGATGTCTAGAGTTAATTAGTATCTGCAACTTTCCTCTGAAGTCATCTTAAGTTTATTAATTGTATGGTATGATCAGTATTTTCTATTCATTAAGTGGAAGTGTAGATCATAATGAATGTCTTTATCTTCGTCGTCTTCACATTGACTAGGCTGAGGAGAAGGAAGAGGGGTTGGTTGTGCTCAGTGTGGCAGAAGGGGAAAGGTTCCTACATTGGGAGTTGTTTAAATCATTTCATAGTTCCCTCATTGTTAATATATCTTCTAGCTGCCAATTTTGAGAGTAGCTGAGTCATAGGAAGAATATGTTCTTTAAAAAATAATTGACTAGAAGGGAAATTAGTTGATTTTTTCCATTAAAATAATGAGTTTAAATATAATGGAATTGAAATATTGAAATACTTCATCATCATCATCATAATTAAGTTGAACCCTTAAACAAAACAGGGGTTGGGGCACTGACCCCCTATATAGTCAAAAATCCATGTATAACTTGACTCCCCCAAAATTTAACTACTAATAGCCCACTGTTGACTAGAAGCCTTACTGATATATAACATAAACAGTTGATTAACACAGTTCTTGCCATACAGTTATTAGATTTTCACATGAAGACACTCACACACCTATCCAACAAATAAGTTTGTTAACTACAGCATGATCATTATTTATTATTCATTAAGTGGAAGTGGATAATTATAAAGATCTTCATCTTTGCCATCTTCGCATTAAGTAGGCGGAGCAGAGGAAGGAAAGAGGAAGGGTTGGCTGTGCTGTCTCGGGTGGCAGAGGGGAAGAAGTGGAGGAGGTGAAAGGGGAGACAGGAATACTTGGTGTAACTTTACACAAATGCATTGGAATTTCTGACTTTTGTGCTTTTTCATTTCTCTAAAAATGTTTCTATATGGTACCAATCCTTGGAAAACATCCATGTATTTTTCTGGACCCATGCAGTTCAAACCCATGTTGTTCAAGGGTCAGCTGTATGTGTTCAAGGATCAAGTAAACAACAGCAACAACAAAAACTTCTAAATAAACATCAGAAGTCAAATTACAAGGAGGCCTATGCCTAAGGACAAAGGTTCAAGATCATATTGTGTAACTATTTATTAAATAGTCTAGACTTGATGATGGCAAGTAGTTAATAACTTTATTCTTTTCCCTTTAATTTTTTTTTTTTTTTTTTTTTGTGAATGTGTTTCTCTTTCCTTTACTTGGTTGATGCACAAGGCAGAACTCATAGCTCTTTGGGAAGTCATGTTCACATATAACAATAGTCTCATATTAAAACTTACTGCTGCCAAGTTGATTTCGACTCACAGTGACCCCCCCCCTTGGGTTTCCGAGGTGGTAATTCTACAGAAGTAGATTGCCCAGTCTTCCTTCTGAGGAGTGGCTGGTGGGTTTGAACAGCCAGCCTTCTGGTTAGCAGTCAAATGCCTTAGGCACTACACCACCAGAGCTCCTTAGTCTCATATTAAGATATTTAAAATTCAGATAATAGGGAATTATTATCAATTTTCTTAGATATGATAATGGTATTGTGACTTTGTAGGGAAATATCCCTACTTTTAAGAGGTGTGTGCTAAAGTAGTTGATGATAAAGTATTGTGATGTTTGCATTTTCTTCAAATGGTTCAGTTAAAAATATGGATGGAGAAAACATGGCAAAATTGTAACCAATCTTGGATCTGGGGAGTGATTATATGGGTATTTATTGTATATTTATAATTTATTTGTATGTTTGAAATTTTTCATGATGAAAAGTTGGGAGAAAAAAGTCCATTCAAATTTGAATAAAACATTCATCTCAGATCCGGTTGAACATTTCTGCTGTATGCCTACTCTATCTAATATCTGACCTATACTTCTGCAGACAAGCAGTGTGGCAACAGGTTGTGATCCCTTCTTTATTCCACTTTTTCTCCTAGTCCTCTGCTACTTCTGGCTTCTCCAGGATTGGCAGTGAGGGGTAGATTGGTGGGCACAAATACAGATAGGGTAGAATCTTTCTTGGCTGGTGCTGGTATAATCTAGTGTCACTGTTGACTAAGTACTGCCTCTGTTTCTTTATTTCATGGACTACTTGTATATGTATATGTACATGTACATGTATATGTATATGTATATGTATATGTATACGTGTGTTTAATTATTCTTTCTTCACCAACTAGGGACCTTGGTGATGGGCCATTCATTATATAGGCAATGCGTTTTCTAGCTGAACTCTTACAAATTTTCCCCTACCCCCACTGTGTCCTCTAGTAACAACCCCTGATTATTACTGCATATGAACAGCTGGACAGTTCTGTTAATTTTAGCTAGATACAAATCAACTAAGTGGTTCTGCTTCTGGGAGTAAAGTGGATATCAGCTCTGGGTAACAGGGGATGACTGGGCTGTGTGTCTCATCCTCTGCCAGTTTAACCTGGACTTATCCACATGGCAGCAGCAGAGTTTGAAGAGAGAGAATGCAGAAATGAGCAAGCTTCTTGAGACCTACACTCTGAACTGGCACACTGTTTCTTCCACTGCATTCTGTGGGCCAAAGCAAGGTCCAGGACCAGCCCAGATTCAAGGAGTAGGAAATAAACACTTTCTTGATGGGAAGGCCTGCACTGTCACATTACAAAAGGGCAGGGATATAAGGAGAAATAATTGCAATGATTTTTGCAAACAATCTACAGAGTGTGAAATGTAAGTCTCCTTGGCTCATGGAATGAGATTGGCCTGTGAAATTCTGAAGCTCTGGTCTCCTTCAGGAGTTCTCCTGATGCCCTCCTTATTTGGTGTGAGGCATGGGAAGGAGACTTCATGTTCCTGTTCTCATTATTTATTTAGTAGAGCGCAGTTATTTTTTCCACTAAATGGTATTCAAAGATGAGTTTAAATATCATCGAAGTGAAATATTGAAATAAATATTCCTAAACTGAAAAACAAAAAACTGCTTCTGAATACACAGAAGTCAGATTCTCGGGAGACCTGTTAATTGTACCTTTCTATAGGAAGAAAAGGAAAACAGCACAGCATTTTCTGTTTTTGGTGAATCTGCTCTAATGGATCACTAACCTTTTCTTATATAAGCTGGCTACTGGATTAGTTTGATCACCTCTTAGAAAGCCCTGCATGACGTGTGGAGGACTTCTCTTTAGAATGTGTAGAATTTTACTATTCATTGTTCTCACTTTGAACTTCACCTGAAGCTATGAAACAACAGGAGAAATCCTTTTTAACATCCTGTTGTTGTTGTTGTTGTTGTTGTTAGGTGCCACCAAGTCAGCTCCAACTCATAGTGACCCTGTGTACAACAGAACAGAACACTGCCCAGTCCTGTGCCATCCTCACAATCCTTGCTATACTTGAGCCCATCATTGCAGCCACTGTTGTAACATCATATTTACCTGAAATATAAAAAACCAAAAACCAAACCTGCTGCCATCGAGTCAATTCGATTCATAGTGACCTTATAGGACAGAGTAGAATTGCTCCATAGGGTTTTCAAGGCTATAAATCTTTATGGAAGCCCACTATGCCTCATCTTTCTCCCGCAGAGCAGCTTGTGGGTTCAAACCACCATCCTTTTGGTTAGCAGCCCAGTGCTTTAACCACTACCCCCCCAGAGCTCCTTAGCTTAAATATGAAAACCAAAAAACCAAACTCACTGCTGTCAAGTTGGAGCCGACTCAACAGTAGCCCCACCTTGGGTTTCCAAGGCAGTATCACTATGGAAGTAGATTGCCCAACCTTCCTTCCGAGGAGTGGCTGGTGAGTTTGAACTGCCAGCCTTCTGGCTAGCAGTCAAATGCCTTAGGCACTATGTACCAGAGCTCCCTAGCTTAAATACAAGGAAATAAAAATAGAGAATTGTGGAAATTGTAGCTCAGGATGTCTGGGTAATTACCTTTCCCTATGTGGAGCCTTGATGGCATAGTAACCAGTTCAGTGCTCTACTGCTACAAGAAGAGTCAGCAGTTTGAACCCACCGGCCACTCAGCAGGAGAAAGATATATCATTCTGCTTCTGTAAAGATTTACAGCCTTCGAAACCCTACGGGGATGTTCTACTGTATCCTATAAGGTTGCTATGAGTCGGAATCAAAGCAATAGCAATAAATGTGGATTATAATAGGTCATTCATAATTAATTTCAAGTCTAATTCATTTTTAAATTCATTTCAGTTTTTCTGTGAAGTCTTTGGTCCTCCTTGTTAGAATTACATGTTTAACTATGGCTGAAAATAATACCAGTAGATTATATGTGTCAATCTTATTAAAGATACTTAATACCTAAAATTAACTCTGAAAATATTTCATTGACAAATGGAACACTTTTTAACAATATATATCATTTTGTTGGCAAGCATTTTGATTTAAAATACTGTATTTTTTAAAGGTGCTATGTAGCATCAATTCAATTATTCATAATCCAAGAGCTCCAGTAATAATTTATAAACAGAGCAAAGGAGGAGCCCAACATTTTAATAAAGTTTTTGTTCAAGATTGTGGATTTGAGCATCTTGTTCCTGTAATAGAAATGTGGGCAGATCAACTGACATCCCTGAAGGTAAGGGGTTGAATATTCTTTACATACTTTGAGAATCTGTTGGAGTCTCTGTGCTTTTTTAATTTGGCTAGGCTTACTTGTTTTATTTTAACTGTAAAGCTGTAAAAGCTTAGGTTATTTATAATTGAATCTTGCTACTTCCATATGTATTTCAAATACTGCCTGTTTGGTTGTGTCATTATTGTAAGCCTTACCTCCTCTAAAGTTCTACTAAGCAAGATCCCTGCCAGGCCTGTTGCCTCCATGAAAATCTGTAATGAGTCCACTTGGCACTTCCATGCCCTTCCTCATCCTTCCTTCATGTCCTTCCTTTTGTTATCCTTCTGCTGTAGATCTTCCTGGCCCTTATTCCTCTTCAGATTAATACCTTACTCTTCCTTTCATTGTAATTGGCAATATTTTCTCCCTCATATTTTAGATGATTTTTCTCTCAGAACCCCACATCTGTCTGTTCTCAAGAGCAGACAGTCAGATAGCAACCAACCCTACTCACCATCCTATCTAACCATAGAAAGATCAAATTTCCTCACCTTGTGAAGTTATTGTGTAGTCTTTATTGCATAACTTTACCAAACTTTAGGTTTGTTCACTTTCTCTTGACTCTGTGTAAAGGTATATTTCTTAAGTCAGTACTATTTAATTTCTGTACCTTTCAAACTTTAGATTTTTTAATAACTAATATACTTAGCACTATCTCTGTTATGAAAATGTGACTCAGTAACATTATTTGTCAACAGAAGCCTTATTATACCAAGTATAAGTGATGTGGAAGACATTAGTAAGAATGTGTAAGCTCCAGAGGGCAGAGATTTTTGTCCTTTTTGTTCTAATGTATCCCAAGGATGCTCCTGGCACATAATGAGTGTTCAGTTAATAGTTGTCATAAGAATAAAGCAGAGGAATATAAGACAAGAAAATGGGAAAAGATATTAAATTTTTAAAAAAATGTATGAAAACACATCTATGACTAGTGAAGAATCTTCACATTCAGCCTAATTTCTTCTTCTCTTTTTCTATAGAGTGCAGAGCTAAAAAATAAACATACTAATTGAGTGATAGTGCTGGATTTATATACCTGTTTTATAGACCTGAGTTCTTCCAGTCTTATGTTTCAGAAGAGAGTAAACTAATTTGTAGTTAGTCATATTTTACCAATCATTGCTTGGAAAGGGGTTGTCTCAGCAGGAGGAAACAATGCTAACTCCACTTTTGTCCTTCTTAGGAGACATAGTCAGCTCTCCCAGGAGAAGGGGAAGAAAACTAGAAGAGAAAGGAACAGAAAAGTCTAATAAATGGATAGTTATTGTTTACTCTGTTCAAAGCATTATGGGAGGTATCAGAAAAGACAAATACAAGATGCAGACTATTTGGAGAAGCATACTCAAAAATATGAAATATCTTGAACAGTTAAATTTTGTCAGTAGAAGAAATGAGTGTCATTAAGAGTGACCATACATGATGAGTCGCGACTGGGATCTTAAAAGCTTGCAAGTGGCCATCTAGATGCAACAATGGGTCTCTCCTCATCCAGAGCAAAGAAGAATGAAGAAAACCAAAGACATATGGAAACAATTAGTCCAAGCGACTGGTACACCATGTGGTCTTCAGCTTATATGACTATGAGACCAGAAGAACTAGATGGTGCCCAGCTACCACTTGGAGGGGGATCTATGTAGGAGATACTGGGTAGAGTGGGAGAACAATGTGGAACAAAACTCAAAATAATTAAAAAAGAGGGACCATGTTTGCTCGTCTGAGAACCTGGTAGAATTCCTGAGACTATAGCTGATAGCTGCCCTTCAGGTCTGGAATTGAACCCACTTTTGTGGCTTCCAGCCAAACAAAAGAGGCATATGGAGTGAATATTTACATTAGGTAGATACACTCCCTGTAGAGATCAGTCATGGGTGAATAGAAGGGCTGTGTATGCACAGGGAGACAGCTTAGGGGGCAGGAGTGCATGGGAGTGAAGGACACAGGGAAGAGGTAATTATGGGGAGGAAGTGGGAGGGGAGCTGTTGCATTGTGGTAAATTGTAGTCAATGTCATGAGACAAAGTGTATGTGAATTGCTGTATGGAAATTGAATTTGTTCTGTAAACTTTCACCCAAATCACAATAAAATTTTTTTTAAAAAAGTGACCATACATGGTTAAGTGGCAAGTGAATGAAGCAGATAGCTTATATCCTAGAGACTGGTCCTGCCCTGGAGGAAAGCTTTGGAGTGGTGATGAGTTACTTGCTTACTTTGTAGTTTCTTAAGTTGATGGAAGCAAGGAGTTAGCTTTGTAACTAGAATATTCTGAGCACTTCCAAGAACAAATTAGTAGCTCTGCCACTGAACTGACTCATTAATTTTAGGCAGTGCTACAGATATTTACTTTATACTCAAAATCGGGACCCAAATTGAAAAACTACATGAGGTCGAGGCTTTGTATGAAAGGTTATTTATAATGTAGCAGCCTCTAAGTTTGCGACAATCATCTTCTCAAGTTAATCACACCCACCATCACCATCCCAGTTAGATTTGACTTAAAGGATGGGAGAGAAGTGGAGCTAGCTAGCTGTCTTCTTCCCTCTGTCGTTCCCTTCAACCTTTCCAGGAAAGGTGAGGTACGAGCTTTGTAGCTTTCCCAGCTCATGTACTGCTTGCTTATTCCCAGTTCTCTAAGACCAGCCATAACATGGCCAGACAGGACCTTTGCAGTACTCCTGCATCTCACAGCTGGACAATGTGAGGAACCTAACAGATTCTTAGATTGTTCAGGATTTACTTGCTGGACTGTGCTACAGCCATCTCTCACTGCTTACGAGGCCAGAGCATTTTTTTTTTTTTCCTTAGCCTTGTAACATTCTTCTGTTCTCAAGCAGAAGTTATTAAGATTCAGTAGGCTTTTTACCATTGACCCTTCTTTATAAATGTAGCATGTTGATGGGGCATTTGTTAATAAAGATATTATGCTGCTACTTCTTGACTTCTTACAAATTCTAGTAACTCAAACTTACTGCAGTCGAGTAGGATACAACCCATAGTGACCCCTCCTTGGGTTTCCAAGGCAGTATCACTACGGAAGTAGATTGCCCAACCTTCCTTCCAAGGAGTGGCTGGTGGGTTTGAACTGCCAGTCTTCTGGTTGACAGTCAAATGTCTTAGGCACTATGCTACCAGAGCTCCTTAGATTCAGGATAATCAGAATATAATGTTTTGATGTAAGGCCTGTATTTACCTGGGGAAAACCTAATTTTGACAAACTTTTCCTAAGCTGGTAATGGTATTTCATTTTAAAAAGCTGATAACTGTTACATATATTATTTTTCAAAAACTTTCCAGGAGAATTATAATTTATTAACATTAAAATATATAACCTCATGTCATTTCTTTTGTTATAAAGGATTTGTATAAATCTTTGAAAATACTATCTGCAGAACTGGTGCCTTGGCATAATTTAAAGAAGCAGGATGAAAATGAAGGTATCAAAGTGGAAGACCTCTTGCTTATGGTAGATACCATGTTGGAAGAAGTTGAAAATAAAGAAAAGGTAATACTTAATACTTACATAAAGGTTATATTAATCTTTATATATAAATGTTTTAATGTAATCTTATCTAAAAAGCTTGATAATTTTATACAGATGTTAATATTTATTCTACTAGGGTTCTATTTCTCTTTTTCAAGTATTTTTCTTAAAGATTTTAGATTCTTTTAAGAGATACACTATTTTCTTCTTCCATCTTTTGGACAGGACAACAGTATGCCAAACTTTCGAATTTTACAAGCTGTTGTTTCTCACTTCCAAAAATTGTTTGATGTGCCTTCTTTGAATGGAATCTATCCTCGAATGAATGAAGTTTATATTAGGCTTGGAGAAATGAACAATGCTGTGAGAAACCTCCAAGAACTCTTAGAACTAGGTGATGACCCTTTATAATTTTTGTCCCCATTAAAGAATTAGTGCTAATAAATCAATAAAAAGTTATTAAAAATTTAAAAATTGAGGATAACTAAAGCATAAAATGTTTGATATGATTCTGAAAATTCTCTTTTAAAATATCTTTTTCTTTTCTCTTTTGCAGATAGTTCTACCTCATTGTGTGTGCTTGTAAGCACAGTTGGAAAATTGTGTAGATTAATTAAAGAGGGTATAAATGAACAGGTTAAGCAGGTACTGGGACCTGCAGATCTCCAGAGGTATTTATTTATTTATTTATGATTGTGATTTGGGTGAAAGTTTATAGAGCAAATTCATTTTCCATTCAGCAGTTCATACACATTTTGTTTCATGATTTGATCACCACAAGGTAACAGCTCTCTTCCTGCTTTCTCCCTGTGGTTACCTTTTCCCTGTGTCCTTCTTTCCTGTGCATTCCTGCCTTCTAAGCTTTCTCCTTGTGCAAATACTGCCCTTCTAATCACCCATAGTTGATTGTTCTAAGGAGTGTACCTCCCTGGTGTAATTGTTCACCTTGTAAGTCTGTCTGTTGTTTGGCCATGGGAGTGAATTCTGACTAGGGCCCATAGTATTTGGGCTTTCACCAGTCTCTATTAGACCAGTAAGCCCAGTCTTTTATATGCTTTTGAATTTTGTTCCACATTTTTCTCCCACTTTATCCAGAATCTCCATCATTGATCCCTTTTTAAGTGGTTGGCATTGGTAGCCAGCCACCATCTAGTTCTTCTGGTCTCAGGGTCATATAGGCTGGACTAATCGTTTCCATGCATCTTTGATTTTCTTCACTCTTTGCTCCAGATGAGGAGACACCAATAATTGCATATTAGGTGGCAAACTTTTAAGATCCCAGTCACTACTCACAAAAGTAGGATGTACCACAATATGAATAATATTTTTGTGCACTGTGTTATGCAAATTGAGCTTGATGTCCCCTGTGACCAGAGTCCCAAGCCCACAGTCCCAGTGACTCACTGCTTCAATGTGTTTGGTTATAACTAAGAAGTTATAACTTTGCCCCTGTTAACTCTATTATATGTGTGAACATTTTTATGTTGTTGTTATTGTTATTTGCCGTTGAGTTGGAACCAACTCATAGCGACCCCTCCTTTGGGTTTCTGAGGCAGTATCACTACGGAAGTAGATTGCCCCATCTTTCTTCCAAGGAGTGGCTGGTGGGTTTGAACCGCCAGCCTTCTGGTTAGCAGTCAAGTGCCTTAGGCACTATGCTACCAGATCTCCCGAACATTTTTATAGCACATACACATACTTATGTAGAAATATCATCTGCCAAATATATATAGTTAGTCATGGGTATAGTCCTATTTGCTTACCCATGCCTGATCATCTTGTCTGTCTACCTATGCATCCACCTGTTGATTAATGTTTGTTATTACTGGTAATGCAGTATTGTGTACATAATAGTACTTAACTTTGTTGTCTGTATCTCTTGTGCACCTCTCCATTGTCTTCCTTTTCAAAAGTATTTTAAAAGTTTACAAAATCAAATGACTGAAGGGATAAAATTGAAGACTTTCCAAAGCATCCATAGTTATTTACTTCCCTATTTGGAATTGCACCTTTTAAGTAAATTTGTAACCTAAAATAATCTTACATCATTAGAGATTGAGAGAATGCCATGTATTTTCAAGATAGAAATAGATTGTAGAGCCTGTAGCTTTATAGAGAGTGGGTAAGGAACTCTTCAGTATTGTTACTATAAGCCAGAGGAAATTATATGGAGGGAAACTCAAACCTTGTTAGCAACTTCTTGTGAGTTCAGATTATATAAACTAGGCCTATTTTGGGACATTCTTATAGACCACTGAATAGTCATTATCAGTATATTAATTATTTGATTAGAAGATAAATGTTAAGGATTTTTTAAAGTACTTGACATCAGTGATATAAAACCTCATTTAAAAAAAATATTGAAATATTATAGCTGTATTGAAAGCAGCTTTTCCACTTAAAATCTTATACAGCAACTTATGGGAAGAGGAACATACATAGATATTACATATTTCAGATGTTCTACAAGTTTACCAGGAAAACCCCTTACCTGATCATATTTGAATTTTCTCATACTTGGAACATAAATATCACTATTGGTCATTTTGCCCTTTCCATAGTTTCACTGACTAATAATATTTTTTCTTTAATAAGATATCGAGTATAAAAGCCAATTATTTTTAGAAAATGCTGTTAAAACATGGTCTCAGAAGGATAAAGTTATATAAAAGTTTCCATGTTACAAATGTTATATAGGTTTAATTCTGGAAAAAATGCTTACATTGATAGTATGCTTTTGTGATATTAGGTCAGTAAGAAACTAAAATATGAATGATTGTAATAAATGATAATTAAGTTTACGTCTAAATTAACAGAACAATTTCTTTCCATTTTGAAAATGTCTTGTTTGCAATCAGATGTAAAAACCCTAAGTTGGAAATGTGTAAATGGCACTTTTTTATTTTTTAACAGCATTATCCACAAATTGAAAGAGCATGACGAATTTTTCCCACCATTTCAGGCATTTACTAATGATCTACTTGAAATTTTAGGTAAGCTCTTTTTGGTGATGGTTAAATTTAGTGTCTTAAAGTGTCAGTAGATTTGAGAGAAGAGTGTTCCTTAGCCCCTAAATAAATCTAAATTTGGTAGAAGGTATTCACAAACCACTGACAGTTCTGGAAACACACTTCCTAACTTGCAGTTTGAGTTGGTTGGGATTAGCCCACACAGGAGAGAAGCATAGGCACTTTAAGGAAATGTTGTTGTTGTTATGTGCCATCAAGTCGGACCCGTCTCATAGCGACCCCTCCTTGGGTTTCTGAGGCAGTATCACTATGGAAGTAGATTGCCCAACCTTCCTTCCAAGGAGTGGCTGGTGGGTTTGAACCACCAGCCTTCTGGTTAGCAGTCAAGTGCCTCAGGCACTATGCTACCAGAGTTCCCACGTTAAGGAAATAGGGGCTGCCTTTGTTTTAGGACCTTGTCATGAAAAATGACCTTACTCTGGCTGTTGTTACTGTTATTTGCCATCAAGTCGGCCCCGACTCATAGCGACCCCTCCTTGGGTTTCTGAGGCAGTATCACTACGGAAGTAGGATTGCCCAACCTTCCTTCCGAGGAGTGGCTGGTGGGTTTGAACCACCAGCCTTCTGGTGAGCAATCAAGTGCCTTAGGCACTATGCTACCAGAGCTCCTGCCCAAGATGTAGTAGTAGTGATATCTTTTAAAGGGAAGAACATAATCTGCTTAGGAGTCATAGGCAAAATAAACCCACCCAAACTCACTACCACTGAGTCGATTCTGACTCACAGTGACCCTATATGACAGAGTAGAACTGCCCTGTAGGGTTTCCAAGGCTGCAAGTCTTTATGGAAGCAGACTGCCTCATCTTTCTCTTGTGGAACGACTGGTGGGTTCTAATCACCCAGCTTTTGGTTAGTGGCCAAATGCTTTAACCACTGTACTACTAGCACTCCCATCAGCAAAATAGAGACACTAAGTCTCTTATTTTAAATGTGATTTTATATGACTATAAAATTAATTTATCTTACTATTAAGAACATTTTTTATTTAAAGCTTAAAGAGATTTATTCACTAATGAATTTCTATATAGCTCATTTTAAGTTGTTTTTTTTAAAAAAAAAAAAAAAAAAGAATGGCTCCTTAACATAAGAAATTAAATGAGGAAATGAGACTTGACAGGAAGATAAGAGAATGAGTAAATTAAAATTTGGTTAGAAGATGCATAAATGAAAAACTGAATAGAGTATATATATATGGCCTAATGAAAGGAAATAAAGGAAACTTTGTGGGCAGCTTTATGTAGACTGTGGAAGCAAAAGAATCAATGAACATGCTTTAGACCTGGGCCTGTGTTTAAAAAGGCCAAAGCAAATGACAGTGTAATTTGAAAGTTGAACTTCAGTTGAGACATGAGATTGGGTAAGTGTGTTGTCCTAGTATCTTAAAGAATCTTGTTTCATAGAATAATGTGATTCTTCTTGCTTTGGGATGGCCATTAACTTAAACAGTGAAGTTCTCATCATTAATATATACTTGGTACATTAACAAACATTTATAGCAAAGATATATTGGTAACACCTTTTCAGAATCCTTCTACAAGAAACTTCTCAGATATTGTGACACTTAGAATGGTTCAGAAGGGTTGTTTGCTTCTAAAAGCCAAGTTTCCCATGTTTTGGTCATAGTTTAAATTCTGAAGTTAAATATTATATTGAACATTGGGAAAGTTCAATCAATTTTGCAAACATGGCTATGTTTTTTATTATCAGGTGTCATATTAAGCATGTAGAACTACAAAGCATTCTACTGACTACCAGATATGGAGAAAACTTCCTTTAGTGATAATTTTTTTTTCCTTTAACTTTTCCTTTCTTTTTCTCATGTATATGGTAGAGTTGACTGAGAAAATTCCCAAGGTCAGCCAAGATCCTTCTCTGGGAGGTTCTTTAATAAGGTAGATTTCTTCTAGTGAGAAAGCAGTGTGATTTCAGAATAGAATAACTTGGTCTTGTACCTTACCCCAACATAAAGTGTGAACCAAGTTCTCTGTTATAGGTTTACTTATTTTTTATATCTTGTTTCCTTTCCTATAACTTGATGCTTTGTATGTAGATCCAGACAAGTATTCTGACCCAAGTTAAGAGCTAAAAGAACTAAATGAATAATGTTCAGGCTAAAGGAAGAACAACCAAAATCCAGCTAGACAAAGGAGGGAAAGAGATGAAATCCAAGGAAACTTGTTTTATGTAAAGGAAATTACTTTTTGAACAATGGGTTAGTGGAATAAGCTAGAAAATAGAGTGAGTATCTAGAGAATCTGCCATTGGGGCTCTCCTTAAAGTAAGCTTGGGATCTAGACAATGGGAGAAAATCCTGCTTCTTCAGTAGCTAGAAGTTTTAGGCTTGTTGGAAGAAGTCTTAAGAAGAGACATCACATTTGGAAAGAACTTAAACTGGTTTATCTGCTAAGCTAGACCAGGCTAAGCTCCATAATTGCATACATTGCACTTATATACTGTATACATTGCACCCAAGGTTTGTACTCCAAGAAGCTTCACAACTATTTTAGGTAGTTAAGTTTCATCCTAAAAGGTAGACCTAAGAGTGATCCTATTAATGAGAAATTTCTTCCAAGAAAATTAAAGAGGATAGGACTTCATTCTCTGAGAAGAGATCCCTAAATCCTTCATTAAGTACTGGGAAGGAAGCAGCTTCTACCTGGAATTTTACCATGTACGTCCCCCCATGCATGTAATTAAACAGATTTAGAGCGGTTCTAACATAAAATCATAAATGTGACCACCTGGATCTGTTAGTAAGAGCACACTGCTAATGAGGTTAATATCAGCGTCAGAGGATGCTTGTAGGTATGTTTCTGAATCAGTAAAATTTTGTCACAGCTACTGGAGATTTCCATGTGCACCCAAGCACATATTGTTGCCTTTGTGTTTGAAATACTGCATAGAAGTTCTCATTTCATCTGAGCATATCTCTATCTATAAAGTACTCTCATTTATTATTGTTTTTCAATTACAGAAATTGATGATCTGGATGCCATTGTACCTGCAGTAAAGAAATTAAAAGTACTTGCCTACTGAATGCAAATCAAATCATTTTGACTGTGTAAATTGTATTTTTAGACAGTCTAAATATTTTATATGGTTAATCTTATTTGGAGACGAGTTATAAAATGTATTTTCTCTCAGAATTTACCCTTTCTTAACACTGGGTCCTTCTCCATACTATTTTTTTTTTTTTTTAAACTTTTGAGATTCTTATACAGAAAACAGTTGCTAAATTAATTGGGCTTCAGAACCCCTTATCACTTAAGCAGTTTTTGAGTGGCTGAAGTTTAAGGTTCTTTTAAAGTAGGATATGTGAGTAAAAGACAAACTTAGGGAAAGATAGTGCAAGTGATAGAAAGATTGCATTGAAGTTTAGAGTTCACTGACCTTTGGTTCAGGAAGATACCAATGCCAATGGCTCTCTTAAATCCTGCCAGTAGGAAGCTGCTGCTTTCGTGGCAAGAACTAAAGGGAACATTCTGTTAAGATAGCTCTCGTGACATGTGCCTTTTCAGTGCAAGAGAAAGAAAAGGAAAAAGGAAAAAAAATGTTTTATCATTATGTTAGGGTAGGAAATGAATCATGGGGTAAAATAAATGAATAGATAGAAGTCCCTCATTAAAAAAAAAAAAAAAAGTGTCTTTTTGCAGACTTGATTGTAATGTATTTTAAATAAGGACATGAGATCATAAATAAAATTTTTGTAAAGACATTTCAAATATAAGTGTTCTCAATCCCTTATTTGTATTACTCACAAATAATAAGTCCATTCCCTTCCTAGACTGAGCCTGCCTTGAGCATTTTAGAGCATTTTATATAAATGGAACCATATTCGTTCCCCCTTGCTGCATTTTACATTAGAGTACTTTTCTTGCTGCGTTATACTTATTTGTCTATTACCAACAGCCAGTCTGATTTTCTTAAGGGACCAGTGTTCTACCTCACATCTATGAGTGCCAATCACTTGGGACTACCCTCCTAACTTTTCTAAGTAGCAGGCCTAGGAAGATTTCTCAGCTATTCTTGTTGGTTGTAATGCAGAATGTTGTAAACCATTTCTAGGAAACAGCATCCACGTCTTTCATGTTGTGACTTTAGGCTTAGGAATTAGATCAGGTAATACCTTAGATTTCTTGTAGATTTGAAATTCTTTGTTTTTAGCCTGAAATTACATTTATAATACTAGCCTATAATTTGTGGAGAAAGCTATATCTTTAAGGTATAGAAAAAGTATTTAGATATCCAAAAATGTAAATGCTCTGAATTGATTAGAGTAAGAAACTGCTATGAAACAATTTGGAAATCTAATAATATTTGAAAGGAAGAAATGTAATTCAATTTTTTTAGAACTAATATTTGGCAGCTAGCTTAAGAGCCTACAGTTAACTCTTAGTTTAAAACAGGTCTTTAAACTGTTCCTGAGAGGCCTAGGGATTTCTTAGAGGTGCTTCAAGGACCACTGAGGAGGATAGTCACTGCTAGGAGTAGGAAGGGCTTTAGGTCCATCCCCTACCAGATCCATTTTTATCCAATTTTAATTATTTAAAGTACAAGTAAGTAAATATTGGCATTATGTTTAGTTTTGAGTTTTTGAACAACTTTATTGAGGTATATTTGACATATAATAAATGTGTTGTTATATGCCGTCGAGTCGGCCCCGACTCCTAGCGACCCCTCCTTGGGTTTCCGAGGCAGTATCACTACGGAAGTAGGATTGCCCAACCTTCCTTCCGAGGAGTGGCTGGTGGGTTTGAACCGCCAGCCTTCTGGTTAGCAGTCAAGTGCTTTAGCCACTATGCTACCAGAGCTCCCATATAATAAATAGCACACATATTTAAAGTATGTAATTTGGTAAGTTCTGATATATGTATATACCCATGAAGGCTTTGTTACAGATTAGATTGCATTTTGGAGAATTTTGTATAAGTGGAACCATACAGTATGTCTTCATTTTTATCTGGTATCTTTCACTCAACATAATTGCTTTGAGATTTTTGCATGTTGTTGCACATTTTAACAGTTCATTCTTTTTTTTTATTGCTGTGTAGTATTCCATTATATGGATGGACTGTAATTTGTTTATCCATTCACTTGTTAATGGATATTTAGGTTATTTCCAATTTTTGACTATTAGAAATAAACGGCTATAAACATTTATGTACAAGTCTTTGTATGAACATATATGCCTGATATACAGTCTTGAATACTGACATTTCATGTATTGATTGCATTCATTTTTTTGTTCTGTTTTAGTTTTGGCTCTGGTTGTTTCAGGCAGACTGGTTAAATCTCATTTCTATTACTCCGTCCTGACCAGAAGTAGAAGTTTAGAAGTGTGATTTTGAAGTATGCAAATATGTAGGATTTCTTAGGTTACTTTTATTATTTATTTCTAATTTTATTGCATTGTGGTCAGAGAGTTTTCGTATTAAGTCTTTAGGGTTTGTTAAGACTTTCTTTGTGACTTCGTATATGGTGAATTTTTTATATATGTTCCATAAAAAGTCTAATCTCTACTTGTTATATATGTATTGTGTTATTACATTAAGTTTACTATGTTTCTGCTCTTTTTTTGTCAGTTTCTGAGAGATACTGAAACCGCTCACCATGATTATGGATTTATAATTCTGTCAAATTTTGCTTTATATATTTTGAGACTTTTAAAAAGTGTATGTAAGTTCATAGATATACATTCTTGATGCATATACTTCTTTATTGCTACTTCATGTTTATCTCGTTTACTTAGGTCCTTTTTTAAAGTAATAGTTGATGAGTATTCCTTTTCCTTTTTTTTTTCCATTTATTTTATTAACCTTCTTTATTAAAGCAACACATATACTAAAAATGGGACCTCTGGCGACGTAGTGCCTAAGGCATTCGACTGCTAACCAGAAGGCTGGCGGTTCAAACCCACCAGCCACTCCTCGAAAGGAAGGTTGGGCAATCTACTTCCATAGAGAAACCTCCTCGGAAACCCAGGGAGGGGTCGCTATGAGTCAGATCTGACTGAACAGCAGTGTTTTTTCTTTTTTTTTAATGCTAAAAATGGTATAAATTGTAGATGTCAAATATAGGGAATGATTAAGTAAAACCCCATGTAACAGCCAAGAAACACAACATTGTCAACACTCCTGAAAGGCCATCCCAGCTACCATATGTCCATTCCTCCTGGAGGTAACCATGATCCTTACTTTTATATGAGTCACTTCCTTGTTTTTTGTTTTTTGTTTTTTTTTTAAATAATTTTGCCACCTTTTATGTATGTCTAGATCAGTAGGGCTTAATTTTGCCTGTTTTTAACTTTATAAAAATGGAATTTATCTTTATTACTATTCCCCACTACTGATTTGGAGGACAGGCCCTGGTGATGGCAGTGGTTAAAGTGCTCAGCTGCTAACCAAAAGTTTGGTGGATTGAACCCACCAGCTCCCCGACAGGAGAAAGAAAGATAAGGCAATCTGTTTTTGTAAAAATGTACAGCCTTGGAAACCCTATGGGGCAGTTCTATTCTCCCTTTTGGGTTACTGTGAGTCGGAATTGACTTGATGGCAGTGGGTTTTGGGTTTTTTTGGTACTGATTTAGAAGCTTTATGTCTCAACTCTATTGGTTTAATTTGTTACTCTATTTTATTAGTTATCTTTAAAAGTCTAATTCATTCTTTGTCTGTCAGGATCCAATCAGGAGACAAAAACCACATCACACTGATAGCCAAACAGGAAAAGGTTAATATGAGAATTGCTAACTAGTAAAATGTGGTGAACTACTAAAAGGAGTGAATGAAGACTATAAGAGGGTACAGAAGTAGCACATTTTGGAAAGCAAATACTACCCCCAGGACTCAGGAAGAGTAAACAAAGAACTTAGAAGCTTGGAAGAGAGTCTCCATTGACCAGTCTGAGGTTTAGACCTCTGAGGGAAGGTTTTGACTGCCATAGGAATATGCAGCCCACCTACGGCAAAGAAACGTGCCAGAGGACACTGGCTGCTCTTGAACTATGATGGGAACAGTTAGGGTGGCAGAATCTGAGGGTATAAGCCAAGAGTAAACTATGAGGGCTCAAACTAAACCAAACTCACTGCCCCATTGGGTTTCTGAGGCTGTAAATCTTTACAGAAGTGGATTGCCCCATCTTCTTTCCATGTAGTGGCTGGTAGGTTTGAACTGCTGACCTTCTGCCTTATCCACTATGCCATCAGAGCTCCAAACTACTGAGAGCTGCTAAGGTAAAGGAGATGGGTTCAGTCACGCTGATTGGCTGCCTGCTGGTGGAAACAGCACTTCAGAAGAAAGGCAAAAAGCCCTTTCTTCCTGGTCTAGCCTTGCAGTATCCCCCTCCAGTGCCCTCTATTGACAAAGCCTAACATCAAGCATTCTGGCAAAGGAGACAAGTCTGCAGTGACTCCAGCATCACAAAGCAGGGCAAAGCAGGGTGGATTTGGAGCTGAGAGGTACTAAATTAGTAACTGACTCATACATTTAGGGTTTTTTTTTTTTTTTTTTTTTTTTATTTTGTTTTGGGTGAAAGTTTACAGAGCAGACTCATTTTCCATACAGCAGTTCATACACATTTTGTCTCATGACATTGACTGCAATTCCCCACAATGTGACTGCTCTCTTCCCACTTCCTCCCCATAGTTACCTCTTTCCTGTGTCCTTCCCTCCCGTGCACTCCCCCAAACCCAGCTGTCTCCCTGTGAAAACACTGCCCTTCTGTTCTCCCACAATTGATTGCTCCAAGGAGTATATCTACCTGAACTAAATGTTCACCCTATATGCCTGTCTATTGTTGGGCTGGAAGCCACAAGAGTGGGTTCAGTTCTTAGACCTGAAGAGTAACTAGGGGCCATAGTCTTCAGGGGTCTCACCAGGCTCTTATCAGATCAGCAAACCTGGTTTGTTTGTTTTTCCCCCATGATTTTTGTTGCACATTGTTCTCCCACTTTATCCAGGATCTCCTGTAACGATCCCCTGCACTGATCCCCCTCCAAGTGGTTGACAGTGGTAGCTGGGTACCATCTAGTTCTTGGTCTCATGGTCATATAGGCTGAGGATCATATGGTCTACTAACTAGTCCCTTGGACTAATTGTTTCCATGTCACACATTTAGTTTTATACCCACCAGCCACTCCTCGGAAGGAAGGTTGGGCATAGTGATACTGCCTTGGAAAGCCAAGGAGGGGTCACTATGAGTCGGATCTGACTCCGTGGCAGTGCATTTGGGTTTTTGGTTAATAAATTATAAATACTTTAACTTCCTGAATAAGATAAGAACTTGAACCCTTTATTATCAACCAGCCTCACCTCCCATCTTAGATGCTAATACTACCATTTTAATTCCACTGTGTTTCTGAATTCTAGCAAAAAATTTTGGTTGCTTACTTGTTTATATCCTTTAAACAATTAAGATTTAAGTTTATTAACACATCTTTATTAATTTCTTTGTTTCCCACATGCTACTTCTGCCTTCATGGTATGATTTCTTTCTTGCTGAAGTACCTCTTAGGGCCATTTTTCAGTCTGATATTCCTATATGCTTTATATATATTTTTTTTTTCAGCCTGTTTTTGTTTCATAGTTTTGCCTGTGAGCTTCCCTTTAAATGGAATTATTTGCTGCAGAAGTCCCACACGTGGCCTGGATTGGAAAAGCAGCCTCAGGGCCAGTTTTGTGGTTGCTTCTGTCAGGGCTGCCTAGAGTTTCAGGTTCTAAACCAGTTTTCATACTAGTTTCTGAGAGTTCCCGCCACAAGTCGGCATTGTGTAACTTAGGTCCCATGCTCCTGTGGGGAAGACTAGGGCCTTTGGTGTCTCACAGCTGATTGTTTCCACCTATTGCTGGTGACTAATTCCTTGTCCTCATTAGTAGCCAAAGTGTTTTCTGATGGGGAAAAACTTTTCATCTCCTTGGTTCATACACAGGGCCTGTAGCCTTATTTCCTGTCTGGTGTATGCTAACATTCTAATCCTCATCAACAACTAACCTCTCCTTAAGCTCCTGTACACTGATTTGATTCTCCTCTTTGGACCATCACCTGGAACGTTACCTTTCACTTTTTAATCGACCATGTTTAAAATAAATTTTAGTCATATTTTAATTAGGTTTTCTATGTATTTAGAAGAAAAGGATTGGGTTTTCTTTTTTTATACATAATTTATTTTACTTTTTTGATGTTTGTTTTGGTTATGTCGTGCTGCTCTTACAGAAAATACCACAAATAGGTGAATGAACAAGAAGAGTTTATTCTCTTACAGTTTTGGAGTCCGAGTTCAAAGTGTCAGGCTCTAGGGACTGGGTGAAAAAGCCTCTCAACCTTGGGCTTCAGCTCTGCCTCTTGTTCCCGGCCCACTGAAGCTAGACGCTTTCTTCACTCAGGCAGTTGCTGGCTGCTGAGGCTGACAGACACAAGGTTACCAAGTAAAAAGGCACAGTCCCAAGATTACCAAACCACATGGCAGGCCACTGATTCAAGTCCACTAAGAATCCCAAGACTGGCAGGCAACATGGCAGGCTGCTGAATGATGACTCGGCTACATTCAGGGTACAAGCTTGCCAAAAAGCTGCTGACTTTTCTCAATAATTCTCCTTATATACTGGAAGCAGACCACATCCCTAAGGCAGCTACTCAGTAGATTCCACTATGTAGTTGATTGCTAATCTCACCATGGGGAATTACTACTTCCAGCTATCCAGCCACTCAAAACCAGGCCCAGCCAAGTTGACACATAACTTTACCACAATGTTGTTGAGAATCTGCACCAAAAAACCACATAGCAGTTCAACAGTTTCTACATGTACAATTTGGTAACACTGATTACGTTCTGAGGGTTGGCTTTCCACTTGTCTGCTTTGTCACCATCTTAATCAGTACTTGCTTTAGGGTTGCTAATATTCAAGATGTGATATATGATACATTTTCTTATGCTTCTCTGATGCTTTACCATTTTCAAAGCACGTGTGTGTTTAGTGAGCATCACAGTGCTATTGTGAGGTAGCTAGGACAGGCATCAGTTGCCTTATTTGCCTGATGAGAAATTGTCATTCAAAACAGAAAGCCCAGAGAAACAAATTTTACTATACATCTACCATATTCTTAGCACAGTCTGTGATGGTAGGTGTGAAAAACAGGTAGTTAAAGTTCAGTTAAGAGAGTCAACATAAACATTAAATGCCAAAACACAATAAACTAGTTGCTTTGCAGGTAACCTTAGCAGGTGCCTAATAAACATTATTTTTTACAATTAAATGTTACAAGGCAGAGAATTCTACAAATGGAAAATGCACAGTATTGACAATAACAAATGCAGTAAATGGTAGAGACAGGCCATTCAACGTGGACTGGCTTACTGGAGGAGGTGGGCTTAAGATAGGCATTTCAGGAGTGAGTAGGATATGAGCAGACATAGGATAGGATTGGAGCTATTCTAGAATGAAGTATCTGCACATGAATAAAGAAGCAGAAAACCAGACACCAGATTATGTTAGGTCTAAAGGCAAATTAATGAGTAGGCTTTGATCTTATTTTTAAAAAAATAGGTAATCATAATTTCTAAGTGAGAATACCATAACAAAAACTTTAGGATGGTGCCATTCTTCAGTAAAGCTGCAGTGAAGGCAGTGATGGGGAGGGGACAATATGGGAGGAGGTCGTGCCTGATTGGGTAAGAGAGGAGGAGGTGACCTTGCTAACAGCTCCAGGAAAGTCAGAGGGGATAGGCAATGTATTTGGTTTTATAAAGTTTGAAATATAAAAAAGGTACTTGTATAAATATATAATTTACATAATTTGCTTCTAACATGCTATGTAGGTGGAGCAGCCATCTCATAGGAAAGTGGAATGGAATTCCTAAGCCTGTCTAAGAGAGAGTCCATTGGTCCTCTCTGGCAGTGATACTCTTCAGCAATCTCCAGCGTTCCGCTGTAGGAATTCAGTTGTAGACCTGAGTTTGGAACTTAGCTTGCATTTTCCTATAGAAATATGGCACATGCTGGGATTTGGTCCCAGGCAACCCCACACAAGAAGTACATAAGCATATATAACACTGTTACCGTAAGGAAAGTACATTTTAGTTCCACATCAGATACAAGAACAATCTCCAGGCATGCAAGCACCAGAGGTGGCAGCTGGCAGCCTTTGGCAGTGTTAGCTCTTGGCAGTTTTATGGTGGGTCACTTTTTACTCCCATGAAAGCAGCTTCATCCCTTCTTCAGTCACTGCCCAGAAATACTGGTAGCTCCCCCAGGAATAGAAACTCCCCCTTTCCCAATGTCAGGGGCAGGACTATTTTACTACATACAGGGCAGTCCTGCATCAGATGGTCTCCAATTACGTATCAGAAGTGAAAAGGACACCACTGAGGTTCTGATCGTGATTTACTAGGCGCAGATACCCCATTTCTTCCTGGATTTGAATAGTAAAATCCAATGAAGAAAGAGTAGTTCTTGCCTGTACATATCTACGTCTTCCTAGTACTATCCAGTCATTGAAAAATAGTAAAATTTCACACAAGAATGTGTGTATATATTTTCAAATGACTGTTCTGATTTAAATCACAAAATATATACACATTTTGATACAAAGGAAGGAAGGTGCTAGTGGTGCTCAGCATTGACTTCTGGGCTGTCCATCTGGAGTCAGCTCATACCTGTAAGACAGGTGGATTTGGACTTGTGTTAGTATTAAGAGTATGTTGTGGTGTTAACAGGATCAGACAAGCTGCCCAGTCCTGCCTGCCTGGGCTTCTATGGTACCAGCAGGACCCATATCTCTCTGTAAGCTGGCCTATCAGGGTTAAGGTAGAGCTCGTTAGATGCCGTGGAGTTGATTTTCCAACTCATAGCGACCCCATGTGACAGTGTAGAACTGCCCTATAGGATTTTTACAGGGTTCCTTTAGGGGAGTGAAATCTGCAGGGATTAAAGGCTTAAATAGGTGAAAATCTCTCCCTCCCTGATACAACAAAGCTGAAATGGTCCTGAAAAGGGAAGAACTGTAAAGAGCATATGGGCAGCTCTCAGGGAAGAACTGTAAAGAGCATATGGGCAGCTCTCAGGGACAGTGTCTTGAATAGCATATTAACAGTGCTAACAATGAAAGGGCACACTTACCATTGTGAAAAGCCCCTAATCAGATCTTCTTGTGATAAGTCAATCAGTACCTAAACAATCACAAATAATCAGTCCCCTCCAAAAAAACTGCATTAACTGAAAACACAATGATATAAACTGAATTGATTGTGAAAACCTTGGATTTAGGAGTTTTGAGCAGTGGCTCTTTTTCCTTTGGCTTTTAACATGGATCCTCTCCAGAGGGACAGTATAGACACTAACCTCAGTATTCTGGATAAAGATGAAGTGCTGTTTGGAGTTGCTTCAGGAATTTCAAGTAAGGTAATTTTTTTTTTTTTCCTTTTCAAGCTTTATGAGTGTTACAGAAAGAGAGAGCAACTTGGCTTTACTCATTAACGGATTAATCATTTTAAGGAAAACATCATAGTTGCCTTATCTATAAACCTGGGGATAATGCCACCTACTTCTTATAGAAGTGGGCTTAAAAGAGATGAGTGTAAGTGTTTATTAAACTATAATGACTACAAACTGTTGTCCAACGACCATTCTTTTGGCCCTTCCTGGCATCTCCTTGGGGAATGTATTTCCTCCAGTTCTAGTTTAGGTAAAATCCTATCACCACAAAAATCTTGTTGTAATAAGAGATCCAAGCTTCACACAATACCATATTTATTGAAATAAGATTTAATACCATAGTACATATTCAAATACTTGTAGAACAAATGAATTTAGAGATTCCAGAATTTGTTAAAATAGGATTCATCATATTAACTTACCTTTTAAAAATACCTCCCAATGATACTATACCCTCCTTGAAGTGAGGGCCTTCCCACCTACTAGTTACAACACGTTGCCCTTAACTCCAGTTGGTACCCAGAGTCCCTCCTGTACTTACTTTTCCTAGCTCCTTTCTTCTGTGTGAGCCAAGTGGCCTACTGTTTTTCACTGCAATATCTAGTGACCTTTTCTTTACTTCTTCCATGGGAACAAAGAATTCAAATCTTTAAGGAACAGAAAGTCCAGAAATCAGATTTATGTATTTCAGCCATTTTTGTTGAAAATCTAAAGTGTTTCATTCATTTCCCTACTTTTTAATCAGAAGATATGGACTACTGAGAAGAAAACCTTTAACAGTACTGCCTCATAGCTGATAGTCATTGCATCATCACTATAGATGATACCTGTCTTGTGTTCTCAAATCTTGGAAGTTTTAAGAGGTGTCTGCCTCTCAGGGACGTACCTCAAGCTACTGAGTTATAAAAAACAAAGACATGTTGCTTTCAAGTAGATTCCAACTCACAGTGAATCTATAGGACCCAGTAGAACTGCCCGTATGGTTTCCAAGGCTGTAATCTTTACAGAAAGAAGCTCTGGTGGCATAGTGGGTAAGACATTTGGCTGCTAACCACAAGGTCAGTGGTTCAAACCCACCAGCTGCTTCACGGGAAGAAGATGAGGCAAGCTACTTCATAAGATTTACAGCTTTGGAGCTCTGGTAGCATAGTGGCTAAGACACTTGCCTGCTAACCAGACGGCTGGCGGTTCAAACCCACCAGCCACTCCCCAGAAGGAAGGTTGGGCAATCCTACTTCCGTAGTGATACTGCCTCGGAAACCCAAGGAGGGGTCGCTATGAGTCGGGGCCGACTCGACGGCACATAACAACAACAACACAGCTTTGGAAACCCAATGGGAGTCACTATGAGTCAGAACTGACTCGATGGCAGTGGGTTTAATCTTTACAGAAGCAGACGATCACATCTTTCTCCCATAGGGCAACTGGTGAGTTTGAACTGCCAACTTTTGGTTAGCAGCTGAGTTTTTAACCACTGCGCCACCATCTTTCTCCCATAGGGCAACTGGTGAGTTTGAACTGCCAACTTTTGGTTAGCAGCTGAGTTTTTAACCACTGCGCCACTATGGCTCCTTAACTGAGTTATACTACTGTCTCTGAGCCTACTCTTTCTTACACTTTTCAGCTGCTGCTCCTCACTTTTCATAGCACCTGCTAATAGATCCACCTCACCCCCTTTCTAAGTTTTGTGGGTTTTTTTTCCTGATCAGCTAAGGGCTAGAATGCAAGTCAGGGTTACTAGAATTGCATGGAAAATACGGGCCTGCTTCTGTGGGATAAAGCAGAGGAATCCTTGTTTGTGTGCTTTGTCATGTATTCAACAAGAGGCCTTAGGACCTCTCACTTCTAGGTTTATTTTTAGCGGGGTGGAGGGGTGAGGGACTGCCAATAGCTTGTCCTCCAGATAATCTAGGCTCTTGTACTAATATCCTATTGTAATTTTGAAAGAGAATTACTAACAGATTAGGTTTGTCAAAGAAGTCAAAGGGCACAGCCTCTCCTTCCTGTGTTCACACATAGCATTTTCAACATGTGTTTGTAATTGTGTCAGAGATGTCTTTAAAGACAAGATTCCTTGTGTGGATCTAGAATTTAGGATGGTGCCTGACATATGACAATGTTGAATAAATATTCTTTCCTCCCCATACCCTTTCTTGACATTGATGAACTCAGTGTAACTTGAACAAACACATTTATTCTTAGACATGGCCCACAGAGACTCAGTAAAACCCTTTTAAAATGAATAGTTATTGACCAGGATAAGAAGGAACTGAAATTATGAGGTATATCATCTTCCTAGACTGTGCTTTGTTGCAGATGGGAAGACAGAGTTTAAGGAGAAATTTTACATCTTTAGGTTCAAAGAATATTTTTAACTGCTGGAATTAAACTACTCAAGGAAATATTTGACCAGACTGAGATCTGTTGACTGTCAAAAAGAGTATGGAACATTCCATAATTAGGAGCACTTTAACCTGTATGGGCAGGAAAAGTGGGTAACCATTTTGATAAACTGCCCTGGCAACATTTTTTCCCTACAGAAGCTTCATGAAGGAAGAGACCACATGTTCCAGCCATAGTCTCTCCCAGCATCTAGGAGGCTGGCAGGCACATAGCAGGAGCTCTGCACATACTAAAAAATGAGGTGCTCTAGGCAGGCCAACTGACCCACTTACGTCTCATCAAACAGGGGCTCCAGGGTCTTCCGCTTCACTGAGGTCTTCTTACGGCTTGCCCACCTCCTTTCTGGCAACAGGTACACACGGACATAGGGGTCAGCGCCACTGCTGGTACAGGGTGTCAGGTTTCTGATTGGGTTTCAAAGATATTAGGGGAAAAAAGGTCTCTGGTTTTGCAACACTGAAGATACTCATTTGGGAGAAAGCTATACTAGCTGTTTGGCTTTAGATAGGTTTAAGGATAAAATGCCCTGTAGTTTAGATGACCAAAAAGTAAGTAAAAGTGTGCAGGATTTAGAGGACAACACATTACATACATTTTTGTAAAGTTTGAGGTAGACCAAGTACTTCCATCCAGGGACGTATTTGGGGAAAGGTACTGACTACAAGCAGACAGTTTGGGTTGTGTCTGAGCAGAGCCCCTCGCTCTTGAGCCCACCAACACCAGTGAAGAACCACCATCAAAGCGTTCCTCTGAGAACTTTGTCCCTCATAGCATGAAGACCTTCAAATTCCATTTCTCCCAGTGTGTCACTTATAAATACTACCTGTGGGAGATGCATGCCATTACCCTTGATCCAAGTGCCCATACTCTGATCTCTAGTCACCTGCTGCTCCTAAAAAGCCTTTCTGCCCCCAGAATCCCCTTACCTGCAGCCATTGATTAGCACACTGAGGCAGCGCCGCAGACACACATAGCGTACCGTGAGCTGAATCTCACCCAGCCGCCGTTGCCTTAGCTCACCACCTCTGTAAGAAAAGGATTGTCATTTCTCTTGTCATTATAAGTATCTGTCTTCTCCTTCCTCCCCACCCACCCCTACTGTCTTGAGGAAGAAACATGCTCTACTTCAGGAACAAAGAACCATGTGGGTTAATAAGATAATTCTTAGAAAGGTTCCTTCTAGTAGGAAGTCCCTTCCATCAAGCATTCACCTGTAATTATCTCCTTGGCTGAAGGCAGACTAGAAAAGTCTTTTAGGATAGTAAGATCCAAATGAAGATAAAAGGTCCTAGAAAATTTTTGTTAACTTTTTTTTAAGTGTGAAGATAATAATATGTAGGCTATATCATTTTTAAGACAGTAGAGGGTGAAGGACCATGGTGTCTGTAACTTACTTTGAAACGGTTCAGCAAAAAATAATGCAGATAAACCAAACCAAACTCACTGCCATTGAGTCGATTTGACTCACAGCGACCCCTCCTTGGGTTTCCAAGGTGGTATCTCTACAGAAGTAGATTACTCAGTCTTCCTTCTGAGGAGTGGCTGGTGGGTTTGAACCTCCAGCCTTCTGGTTAGCAGGCAAATGCCTTAGGCACTATGCCACCAGAGCTCCCATAATGCAGATAGGTCAGTATAAACAACTGTTAGATCTGAGAGAGGGAATATGTATGTTAATTGTACTTTTAACACTCAAAAGATTAGATAAAATAAAGCCTTGGAAATTATAAGCTAATCAGTAGAAAATACTTGATTGTTCAACTTTGAAAGAACTTAAGTTACATAAGGTTTAAAATGGCTTAAAGTGCACACTTTATTGGAAAAATGGAGTTGAAGGGGTTGGTCAGATTTCAGGAATCCAGTTCTGGTCTTCTATTAATCTCTAAATTTCTGTTTCTATTAACTGATCATAAAATTGAGAGAATTCAGGCTATCCACCAATTTAATCACTTGTTGAATATTATATGATCTTAACATACGAAAAGTAAAATGCATTCCTCAGCTGTGTGGTCTCCAAGCACAGCTAGCAGGAGTTTCGTATTCTGGTTAATGTGTTGGTTCCCTTTCCTAGACCAATATGAATGTAATTCAAATTAGGAAGAGCATGAACCCTGGAGTGGGATCTGCCTTCTTATTGTGACTCCTTGTGGGACCTTTATCTCATACAGTTAATGTGAAGATTGAATTGGGTAACACACAAACTCAGAGTATAGATAATAAATGGCAGCTATTAATTACATAATTCCACATGGTAAGGTTTCTGTATCATACCAGTATGACTTTAGAATTCAGAAAGGGTTTCTAATGGGAGGAACCTTAAAGACCAATGCCCAGCATCTATTTTACAGTGAGTCTATAGCTAGAGCTATAACCAGGCAACGCTGCCTTATATTTTGTGAAAAACCAGAACTTGCACACACACATGAGACCATATGTACTTTTCCAGTCAGAGAGGAGTGTTTCATGCAGGTGATTTAAGACAAGATTAAGCAGAGAGGTGCATACTCAATGTTGAAGCTGGTATCTGTCAGGTCAAAGCAGGAGGAGGCCAGGGAGTTGAGTGAGGGCATGCTGGGAGACAACCCCTTGGGTGGCCATGCAAATGGGGAGGCAGGGCATTTCATGGGTCTGGGTGACTTGATGGGCCCTGGAGAGTGGGGGCCTGGGACAGTCAGGAAGATGGTAGCCGAACTCTTCTTCTCTCCCACGGGTTCACAGAACCCTTTGGCACTGTCCTTGCCTTTGGGCTTTGGGTCTGTCTCTTGGCTTGTGGGCTCAGTGGCAGCAGTGATGACGCTGGTGGTGGTGGTTGTGCTCTTGGAGGTCTCCTTGCTGTCAGAAACAAGATCTAGGGGACATGGCACATCTTCAGGGCCCTCTCCTTGGGGTGGAGCTTTGGGGCCCTGGTTAGTGGCCACCTTCTTGATAAACAGAGGGCCTTTCTTTAGGGCTTCGGGTCCTGTGTATGGGCTCCCCAGCTCTCGTTCCTCCAGGCGCAGGAACTGCAAGCAGATGACAGGGTTGCTTATGGGCTGGGTCCAACATGTCCTCTTCCTCCCCTTATATTCTCACCTTAACCTCTGGAAGATGGTTCCTTCTCCTCTTTCCTAGAATAGTTTCCTCAAAAATCAGTGCCCAATTCAATGGCTTTTTTCACAGACTGGATCCTCCTTGACTTCTCTCTGTCCCCTGACCAGGTTCTGACCAATGCTGTTCTGTTTTTTCCCTTCCTCCTGCCTTCACTACCGTATCCAAATCAGACCATCATTGCATCAATTCCAACTCATAGTGATACTATAGGATAGAGTAGAACTGCCCCATAGAGTTTCCAAAGCTATAAATCTTTCTGGAAGCAGACTGCCTCATCATTCTCCCATGGAGAGACTGGTAGGTTCAAACTGCTGGCCTTTTGGTCACTAGCCAAATACCTTAACCACTGTACCACCAGAGCTCTTCTATCTCACTGCTGGGTGTTAATCAAGACTAGGACCCCTTGTCTCTTTACATGCTCACTGGCTGCTAGAGACTTGGTCCACTCACAGCATGCACTTTCCTCCTGTATGGAGGACTCTCAGGTCTACCCTCCAGTCCTACCCCCACCCCAACCTGGACATGTAGTACCAGCTGCCTTCTGGATACGGTTATTTCCAGCTGTCATTCTCACTCACCATTGTTTTCCCTAAAATGTGTTTCCTATTCAGACCCACCCCTATGCTCTTAGGCCTACATTTCAAACCCCAATCATTGTTTATTCCCCATCTTTGCCCTTCAGTTATCAATTTTCAAGACTCATCCTAGAGATTTCCATTTCCTGCAATATGGCAGTAAAAATATTCTGAAAAACCTCATTAGGAATGCCAAGTAAAATGAAACAAACATACTTTAAAATGGATAGCCAAATTCACAAGAAAGTAAGGGAAACCTTTATGGTTAAAAGAGACAACAACAAAACGATACGCACTGCTGTCGAGTTGGATCCGACTCATAGCGACCCCTCCTTGGGTTTCCGAGGTGGTATCACTACCTTCCTTCCGGGGAGTGGCTGGTGGGTTAGAACCATCAGCTTCTGGTTAGCAGTCAGATGCCTTAGGCACTATGCCACCAGAGCTCCCAGTTAAAAGAGGGGGTTGCCGGAAAAACTGAAAGATTAAAGGTTAAGCTTTCCTGGGGTCATTTACCAGTTTTGGTATCTAAGGGGTTAGGGTTTTAAGGATCTTGCAGACAAGAAGCAAGTCCTTAGACCCAAGTGAGGCTGGGAGTTGGAAGTGAGGTCCATGAAGATGGGTTATATATTTGGTGAAAAAAGTAGTATGGAAATAAAAATTCCATCTACTAGCAAAGGTCAATAACAAGATATGTCATACATAGCCTGTCCATAAAAATGGGCCCAGGTTTGTAATGCCTCTTGGCTGAAGCAAAAGCAAAACCACGTTGGAAGAGAACTACCTCAATCCAGGTCATAGAGGAACCCTGATTATTTGTTTACAACCCAAATTACAAACCATAAATGAGCCACCATAAACAACAGACACAGCAAACATCAAATTTCAACATTCGAGATCTTCAGACTAGAATTGATAAATGTATTCATTACAAAATAAGCATTTTTAAATGATTAAAGATGGAGTAGATGAGAAGATAATAAAATGCTATGTAAAAAGACAAGATGGATTTGGAAAAGATAAAATTATAAATGAAAAATAGTCATCAAAATTAAAAACCACAAGCAGGTTAAGTAGATTCCAAAAACAAAACCAAATTCGCTGCCATAGAGTCAATTCTGACTCATAGTGACCCCCATTGGGTTTCCAAGGCTGTAAATCTTTTTACAGAAGAAGACTGCCTCATCTTTCTTCTGCAGAGAAGCTGGTGGGTTCTTGGTTAGCAGCCAGATGCCTTAACTACTACACCACCAGAGCTCTTTTAAACAGATTTAAAAAAAAAAAAAAAAAAAAACTGCCGTTGAGTTGGATCCGACTCATAGCAACCTTTCCTTGGGTTTCAAAGGCAGTATCACTATGGAAGTAGATTGCCCAACCTTCCTTCTGAGGAGTGGCTGGTGGGTTTGAACTGCCAGCCTTCTGGTTAGCAGTCAAATGCCTTAGGCACTATGCCACCAGAGATTCTAGCCAAATAAAGGATTACTGATTTGGAATATAGATTTGAGGACATTAACCATAATATAGCACCAAGAGATAAAGTGATGAGAAATATAAAGGTCAGGTCAAGAGACGTGGAGGATAGGATGAAAAAGTCCAGCATAGAAGGAGTTCTATAAAAAGGGATTAAAAGGATTGAAGAGATAGTGGCTGGCAGTTTTCTAAAATTGATGAAAAAGGAACCCTAGCTTAATCCATCTCCTGGCTTTCTTCTGGCCAGGAGTAAACACAAATCCATCTCTTGACTTTTTATGGCCACGATACAGAGTCCACTTTGCCCTACAACCAGAGCCGCACTTCCTTCTCTCAGGGTTAGGGTGAAGATTTACCCGCAGCACCAGCCTCATGGAGATGAGACTATCCAGGCCCGAGTGGTCCAGCTGAAAGCGCTGTTCGAGGGTGAGGTCTACGCAAGAGAGGATCTGGCACAGGGGGAATTCCAGCACTCCCAGAGCATACTCCTGGTCATCATCAAGCACCTGTGTAGTGGGCCAGTCACAGAACAAGAGAATAACCAAGCCCCACCCTCACCCTCCCCACAATCTGGGCCCCAGCTGAGTCTGATTTCATTTCAGTAAGTATGTCCTGTGCTGCTATTGGCATCTGGTCCTGTTCTGGGAACTGCAAATGGAGAACTGGTCCCTGCCTTCAGTCAGAGGAGCAATGACTCAGGGTAGAGGCATTTATGATTTGAATGAGGCTAGTGTGTCATATGTCCAAGGCCATGGGGGCTTTAGGGACAGATGAACTGTGCTGCTCCATGGGACATCCAGGAAGGCCTTCTGAACCCAAAGAACATGAAGAGGTCCCTAAAAGATCTCAGCTTCACCACTTGCTAGTCATAACATCTTGGATAACTCACTGTTGGAGTCCCTGTTTGCTCATGTGTAAAATAGAGAAAATGTATCTTTTCCACAGATAGTTTGTGAGAATCAAAGGAATTTTTTTTTAATGAAGTACATCATCATCATCAATATACATGTTCCAACACAGGCCACTCTGGGTGCTATGGAACAACCAGAAAGGCCCTTTTGCAGGGAGAGCCAAGGGGTATGAGGGTTTATCCTACCACATCCGCCTAGTGACCTTATGTGGCAGCCTCATGAAGATGAGGCCTTGGAGGGCCTTATTATTCCCTCCTGCACATGAGTAGTTGGCCTTAAGCACTACACCGAGAATTAGCTCAGATGTGCTTCAAGCTCCCATTCCTGCTAGAAGTCTATTCTAAGAGCCCGACTGCAAGCAAACCTTCACATGTAGCTGCTCAGCTGCCACGTTGTGTACAAAGAAGGAGAACGCTTGGTTCCACACGGGATCCTTGCTGTGGTGGCATGTCTGGAGACAGAGGGAGAGAACACTGAAGGTTAGGTTGGGAAGAGTTAGAAACCAGTGCCTCTGCTGTCACTGTGGCCACCAGGTACCACACTGGGAGCCTTGTGTGCCTGCCCAGGGACCAGACCCACACATGCTACAGCCAATGGGAGACACTAGGGAGGGGCAGCCAGACTCAAGGCAAGAGGTGCTTTACCAGGAAGATCTATAGGGACTGAAAATCTCTAGTAGTAGAGTTAACTCCCAGGGGATAGGGACCAGCAAGATTTCTGCTGCTGGCCTGAAATGTCATTGTGTGGTGGGAAGGACATGGGCTTTAAAGCTAGGCCTGGGCTGGAACCTTAGTTCTCCTGCCTTCTAGCATGTGACATGGGGCAAGTCAATCTCTGAACCTCAGATTCTTAGACTAAAAAATTATTTGTGAGGTTATTGTGAGAAATATATAAAGTGTTTTGGCACCTGGTAGGCATTCAGTGCAAGCTAATCCCCTGCCCTTTTGGCTCTCTCAAGGAGCTCTGGTGGTGGTGTGGTTAAGGCATTTGGCTGCTAAGCAAAAGGTCAGTGGTTTGATCCCACCAGCTGTTCCACAGAAGAAAAATGAGACACTCTGCTTCCACAAAGATTTACAGCCTTGGAAACGCAATGGGGGTTGCTACGAATCAGAATTGACTCAATGGCAGTGAGTCTGAGTTTTTTTGTTTGTTTTTGCCCCTCAGCCGTTGTTTTTGACCATCCTCTGCTTCCCTCAGTTATCAGTTATTAAGACCTATCCTAGACACTTCCATTTCCTTCCATCTTACCCCCAAGACTACACTCCACAGCTGTCGTACCTTGCTTGTGTATGTCTTCTTGCCTACAGATAGCTTGACGTAGGAAGAAGGGTCTCTGCTGATCTTATTCTGTGAAAGGAAAAATCCACAACAATGGTGGTACTGTCAGTGTCAGCTTGAGATACTCTCATACCCTGGGAGCATCAGTGGGATGTGGGGCCAGCCTATTGCTTCCCACTGAAAAAAGGCTGCCCTGGTGCTCCCTAGACTCCTTAGGCTGCCAAGACTGTAATAATCAAGGGCAGGACTGACCCGAGGGTGAGGTCCAAAGTTAAAGACCCAAAGCCAGAGCAGGGCCTGGCTGGGCACAGACTCTTGTTCTTTGGGGCTTAGAGCATGACCTGTGGAATCAGATGGGGAAGAGTCCAATTCTGGCTCCTCCTCTTAACTATGAGACTTAGGCACTTAACCTTCTGCATCCTGTTTGTAAATGGCAATAAAACTACTGGCACAGTCATCAAAGGGCTCAGGGATAAAGAACATTAAGGATGAGTTGCCAAGCCCTGTACCTGGTCCATGCAGACTTACTGAGCAGTTCTGGTATTCAGACTGTGTGTGCACACATCATGGCTCAGAAGACCTGGGGCTGTGGTGACTCTGGAGAGGAGCTGTGACCTGCCCTCACTCAAGTTTTCAACCACACACATACCTTGGCAAACCTGGAGAGTTTTTTGGCTCGATATTCACCATTCAGGTAGTCAAAAGGGTTTCTCTGTAGCACAAGAATAATGAGGTAAATGAGCAGCACATGGACATTTGAAAGTGAAGAGCATAAGGTGCTTCCAGAGAGGACACTCTGGCCATGTCACCACTCACCGGCAGGTTGCAGGCGCTCTCCAGGAAGACGACGAGGATGGCAGTGGAGAAGACAGCAGTGGAAAGGCCACTAGAGTCCTGCAAGCAGCAGCAGAAAGGCAGACTGGTTTTCACATGTGGCAGATGGAAGCCCGCCCACCCGCCTGCCCTTGCACTCCAGACTAAAAAGATCACTCACAATCTCTCTGCTAAGGCTGAGAATACAACTGCAGCATGACAGATTGAAGACAGATACAAAGATGGAGTTCATTTATGAACACAGAGTTCTAAGGACCCCATCTTCCTGGAAAATGGCTGAGATTCTGTCTGCTGAGGTAGGTCAGGAGCTACTCTGTAGAGATGGGCTGGGTGACATGTTCTCCAGGAGGCAGGGCTAGGTTCACTTCCTCCCTGCCCTTGTGCACACAGACCATCCCGCCCCACGTCCCTCTCTCACCTTTCTGCTCAGAGCCCCTGACACGCTGCACTCACCTCGACCAGAGCATCCCGGTCAGTGGCCAGTGCCAGCCACTCCAGCTGCAGGTGCAGCCGCCCACTGGTTGTGTCATTCAGGACAAACCACTGCAGGGATGGGAGGGGGCAAGGGGCAGGAAGATACTATTGACCCTCTTCCTGAGTAGCCAGGACACAGCAAGGGCCTAATAGAGACTAGAAAAAAGGTGAACTGGCCATAGAGTGTGGACTTTGGGTTCAGAGCGATTGGAAGATGTGGTTATACAAGGATAAAAGTTTTCCACTTTGGGATGAAAAAACCCTTCTGCCAGGCCCAGACAGCCCTCCCTTATAATGAGACTGTCCCTTGCTGGGGGTCCTTGGACTGTGGGCATTTCCAGGGAAGATCCCTCCAGCTGGGACCCTAGGGGCTCTTGGGGACCCATCTGTGTTTCACCCAGCTCTTCCCCTGAGCATGCATGTGGCCCAGCAGAGAAGGCCCACTTCACAGGATTAGCTGTTCATGGGGATGGGTGCTGCACTGAAACCCCGGGTCGCAGGCCCCAACTCTACCTCGTCTACCACTCTGTTGGTCCTGACATCCCCGAGGCAGATCTGTAGGCTGGAAAACACAGAGAGATGCTCAGCTCAGAGATGGCAAAACACGAAGGATGCGAAGGCCCACCCTGATAGTTTCAACAATCTGAGTGGGCCCATAAGAAAAAGGATCTTATTCAGCGAGGCCCTAAGGAACCGTTGGGAGACCAACTTCAAGTTGAGTGAAGGAAAGACTCCAGCCATCAAGGCCAGCGAGGCAGGTGGCCCCCAGAGGGGACAAACAGAAGCTGCTGGCCACATTATCTTTGGATTTCTCAACAGTGGGGCTACTGGGATTTTGGGTGGGGTGATTCTTCCTGTGCATAGCAGGAATTTAACTTCCTGGTCCTGTGCTCTCTCAGTGCCAGTGGTACCACCTCATCCAGCCATTGTGACAACCCCACATGCCCTTCCATTTCCAAAACCGTCCCATATGCCCACCAGAAATAACTAGTTGACACGTGTGTGGGAGGAGGTAACATCCATTTCACAGTGTGCCCCCTACACACATCTGGCCCAAGCCAGAGGGCAAATGTAATCCTATTGAACTGTTAGAATATGTGCTTGAGCTCAATATGCATTTTAAATCAGCTAAATAAAGCATGAACCCAAAGTCAGACTTCTGTTCTGCAACATAAAAAGTGCAAGTTTTTTAATTAAAATTAAAACATCTGGTGGTGAGCTGTTTCTTTGCCTGTTAGATCATGCTCCTGTCATTTTGTTGTGTGTCTACTTTTTCTTTTTAATTACATGTTCATGGAAATAAGCCAACCAATACATAGGAGTGTAAAAACTTGGTTATATCACTCTCTCCTGCCGCCTCACCCCAGCCCTCTGAGCCAGCAGTGTGAACAGGTCAGTGCTCATGAACTCGGGCAAACATAAACAACCCCATGAGAGCTCCTCCCTTTGAAAATGGAATCCAGCTACTTTCCCCCCTTGTATTCATACATCATGGACGTCCTCAGACCAATACACATGGACCCTACTCATCACTTTTAATAAAAGCTGCAATATATTCTGTAGTTTGGCAATGGCATATTTATTCAGACATTCAACCAATGTCTCCTGAGGCTGGATATTTTTGTCTCTAGAATTTTGTTTTGTTACCACACACTTCTACAATACACATTTCAGGAACTAGTGCTTTTATTTTACAGGAGATCCTGAAATTGAGACTGCTGGAGCAAAAGACGTGTAAATTTGAAATTCTGATAGCTGTGCCCACCCACACCACTCCAGCTGTCCATGGTCCTGAGGTTTAATGTTCCACTCCAGAGTGAACTGGCCAGGATACTTCGGTACTAGGCACCTGGCCAGCCATGCCAGCCTTGCCCCCTGCCACTTTAGGTGCACTATCAGGAGGGTAGAAAGCAGAGCTGTAGGACTTAGGACTGGGCACTCAGGTGGCATCTGACAAGGAGGTTTGTGGCAAGTGTGGAAGGTGGACTAGTTGCCTGACACAGTTACCATGTCAAGAGTGACCAGATTCTCATCAGGGCCATCTTACAGATGGATCCTGATAGAATGGGAGAAAAATGTGGGATAGAACTCAAATTATTAAAAAGTCCAGACCTACTGGACAGGTTGAGATTAGAGGACTCCCCAAGACCATCACCTTCAGATACCCTTTAAACCTTGTATCAAACTATCCTGAGGTTGCCTTTTAGCTAAATAACAGATTGTTTCATGAAATAAAGACTATCACCTGTGAGCACTACATTCCTTTAAAAATCATCTCTATAAGACCAAATGATCAAAAATTAAAGCAAAGGTGAAAAGGTAGCAGGGCACAGAAACTAGATTATTGGCAGCAGAACCACCTGAATGGCAATAATGAGAATGTTGACACTGTGAAAAATGTAACCAATGTCTCTGAACAATGTGTGCAGAAATTGTTATATGGATACCTAATTTGCTGTGTAAATTTTCACCAAAACCACTTTTTTTTTTTTTTTAAAGAGTAACCAGAAAGGGTTGCAGGTCACTGAGCCTTAAGGGGACACCAAAGATATATACACACCCATGATCATCATAGAGGGGATGACAGCAGAGCAGCTGCTTTAAGGCCCAGCTCAGCATCCCCAGGGAAGGAAGGCTGCCCCAGGCCCAGTTGGGCCCTTGTCCTCACCTGCCCAGGAAGTCATCCCTGTCAGGATCCTCATCGTACAGGTCCACCTCCAGGTCCTGGCCAGGGACTTCATACACTATGAGCTGGAGGGAATGAGACCAGCAGGCCACACAGCTAATGAAGCAGATCTCAGGTGTGACCCAAAGGGAGACAGATCTTGGCCCCACTACCTGCCAGCTGAGAGCCCCTGGGATGGTCCTGCCCTCTTAGTGCCTCATGGACCCCACCTATAAAAGGGGAGTGGTCCCCCACCCCTGTGGGGCAGTGAGGATTAGAGACAACGAATGCAAGCCCGTGGGTGCTTGGGACCGTAGCTGCTGTGTTCTGCAAGGGGCTGGTAGCATACAGAGCACTGTCTCATCTGATCTTTCTGGGACACCAGGAGACTGCCACTGCCGTTTATCATTCCTGCTCTCACTGCCACACCCCAAGTGCCGGGGTACTTCTATATAGTGTGCAGAGGGCAGGGCAGTCACTGAGGAGGTGTCCCCAGGTACATGTACTCTGAGGGGCCTTTGTGGCCTTAACAGGCTGTGGGTCCCACCCTTCAAGTATAGGGATGGTGGTTGGCCCTTGAAAGAATTCAGGCTCCTGGTGCGTGGCTCTCGCAGGGGAGGCTGAGAGGACTGGGCAGGACTATGCCTCTGAAGTTCTCTCCTTTGATTTAAAACCTTACTTCTAACAAATCTAACTCCGGTGGGGAAGGGAGGTAAGAATTGCCTACAGTCTGGCCCTCCAGCGGGGCCAGAGCACCCCCACCTGGAGAACCCTAGGGGATATGGGAAGAAGGAACCCACAGTCCTTGTTAAGGGCACTTAACAAGTTCCTGGCATCCAAGGCCCCCTTCTCTGGTCCAGTATTGCCCCCATGGCTATGTAAGAATCCCAAGGGCCAAGCCTTGCCTTGTCTGTTCCCTGCGCAACCCAGAGCAGAGTGTGAAGGCAGCCAAATGAGGCTGAAGAGACCCTCACCTCAAACACCTCATTCCAAGTGGGGTTCAGATTCTTATAGATGGTCTTGCTCCGGAAATGCTGCAGGCCGATGCTCACCTTGGCATAGGGGTCTGACTTGCCTCGGATCCCCAGGAAGTTGTCCTTCTGGGCCAGTTCCTGGGCCTCCAGCAAATGGACTCGGATCACACCCTAGAAAATGCCACGACCTGGGGCTCACAGCTGCTCCCTGCACTGTACCAGCGCTCAAGGCCCAAAACACCAAAACCAAAGCCATCGGAGGTCACCCCTGCCCCCTCCTCACTCTCTCAAAGTCTGAATGGGGAGACAGAAGCCAGACATGGTAGTGACTTGACCAAGGCCATGTGGCAAGTGACAGCAGGACCCAGGGCTCTCTTCACTACTAGATACTACTCCCCATGTCCTTGGCCTTCCACCCCTCCCTGCCTCAAACCTGCCACGTGAATGGCTTATTCAACTGCAGCTACTTCCCTTTCCTGGACCAACAACCATGCCACCTGAGGAGGTTTCCTCCTTTACTCCAGGCCCCCTCTGTAATCTGCATTCTGGCAACCCCCAGTGTTACTTCTTCCTGATACCCAGGTGTACACACTCCTACAAGCACTGCAGTGCTTGTTGGCAGTGGGTCCATGTAATCATAAAGCACCCAGCACCAAGCCTCACCCCTCCACACCTGGGTAGGGCAGACCCCTTTCCCTACATGCACAGGGAGGGGGCTTAAAAAAAAAGAGGAAGAAATTAAAAATCTGAGTCCATTACAGAGCACAGGAATTGGGGGAGAGAGGAGATAGTTCATGGAACCTAAGGTAAGCCTCCTGCCTAGAGCTACTTTTTCAAGTACCAATAAATACACATACATTTATCCTTTGACCCAGAAATCTCACTTCTAGGAATTTATTCCAACAGCCTACTGGCAAAAACAGATAAGGACATGTGCACAAAGCTATTTATTACTACACTATTTGTAACATCAAAAGACCAGACACAACTGTCCATCAATAGAGAACTGGTTAATGACATAATCACCCTTTCACAGCTCCTAATGAATTAATGCTAAGGAACCCTGGCGGCACAGTGGTTAAGTGCTTGGCTGCTAACAAAAAGGCTGCTGGTTTGAACCCACCAGCCACTCAATGGAGAAAGAGTAGGCAGTCTGCTTCTGTAATATTACAGCCTTAGAAACCCTAAGGAGCAGTTCTACTCTGATCTACAGGGTCACTATGAGTCAGATTCAGCACACAACAACAATGAATTGATGACTGAGGCAATGATGATCAATGACTAATAAATCACAAAAAAAAGACATTTTGACATTTTGTGCCTCCATACACAAACCACCTATGAAGTAATCTTGCCAAAAGTTTGAGCTTGAAACAATCACCTTCTAGAACAAACTCCCAGCTACAGGAGACAGAAGAACATGTGAAACTACACCACAGAGATGCAATCAACCAAACACAGCTTGTCAGAAACTACAGTGCATAACCTGGTTTCTTCACCAAGTAAATTTCAAGGAATCAAATACACCATTCCTCACTTATCAAGATGGTTAAGTTCCAAAGACCAGTTTGTTACGCAAAAACTGGCATTTTTCGAAAATGGAGGATGACCACAGATCACAAAATGTAAAATGACTATATCGTTACATAACTGCCAAATTATATCATTACCTAACTGCCAAATTATATCATTACCTAACTGCCAAACCAACAAGAACTATGGTCTGGCCAAGCTGACATATAACCATAACCAACACAGTCAGCATTATTCTCGCCTCCCACTTCAGCATTTATTACTGCCTAGGCATACATTCTTATGCACAAAACAGTCAGATAGTAGATTTTTAACTATTGCAAATATGAAATGTCAGGCAATGAGATAGTCAATAAGTGAGGAATTTGTGTAGAGAGAAAGAGACAGGGAACCTACAGATTAAAATATTTAAGTATCAACCAAACACAATGTGTAAACCTAATTTAGCTCTCAATTCAAACAAACTGAAGAAAATAGGGCATTTTTTGAGACAACTGAATTGTTAACATTGCCTGGATATTTAATGATATTAAGAAATTATGTGTAATTGTTTAAGTGTAATAATGGCATCATGCTTATGTTTTTATGTTTAAAGAGAAAAGTTTCCTTATATTTCAGAGATATTTACCTAAAAATATAATAAAAGAAAAAAGTAAAAACTGTGAGGAAATCCACAACAATTTAGCCCAAACAATTTAGGTGTGTCCACAAAATGCTGAGACTAGGATGTGTCTTTGGGGGTGGCAGGAACCCCTCATGTGTGGAGACGTCAGGAAGAAGGAGAACCAACACAGGACAAGGTGACATGTCTCTGTGTTCTGAGTGCTGTACTGTTAAGTGAGGACTGAATTTTCTCTTATGAGCCAACTTTGCTTGTCAGCCTCATTGAGATGCTGGAAGGCCCATTGACAGGGTGGGCAGGCATTACAAACCTCTTAAGACATGCTTCTATCTGTCTACGCAAACACACACCCCTCCTGGGCTAGGGACCCAACATGACAAAGATGCCAGTAAGGGGAGCTGAGAGCAGGGTGTGGCCAGGCAATAGGGACGAGGTAGCAGACACACCAGCCCTCACAATGACAGGACTTTTCAGGAGTCAAGGAACAAGAACAAGATGATCAAAAAGAAGTTTGGGTGGCACTTGTGGAACTGTAACTTTGAGGGAATCAGGAACTGGAGGGCATGAAGTTTCCAGCAGGAGACCCAGCCTGAAAACTTGGACTCTGGCGGGTGAATGCCTGGGACCCACTACCATAGGCGAAGCCAGCGTGAGTGTCCCTTGAAGAGAGAGGGCATAGGGAGAAGGCTGAGAGGGCATATGTGTCTTTTTCCCAGTCAGCCTGTGCCCTCCCAAGTCAGAGTGCCAAGCATGGCACTGGCCTGAGTAGAAGCAGCCATCAGGGAAAGTTTAAAAAGAAACCAATGCCTCTCACCTGACACTGATGGTAAAAGTGGGCTCTTCCCATCCCCCATGCTCCTGACTCCCAGCCCTGAGGAGCTCAGGCCCACAGCCAGGGTACCTTTCTGTGAGGAGGCCACATGGCTGTCCCAGGGGCCTCCTGAACTGGACCAAGGACTGGGGAGAAGGGGGTTCAGCAGCCAAGGAAACCCCACATCCTAACTCAAAAGAATTCTCAATCACCCCAAAGAATCTTTCTGCCACCAAATTGATGGAGTACCCTGGAAGGAGGACGGGAGGCTCCCAGGTCCTCACAGGGGTAACTGCCCACAGTCTCCAACACAGGCCACATGGAGGGACCAGGAGCAGGTAGAGAATCAACCCTAGGTCCTGCCCCTCCCTGGCTGGATACCCTTGGGCAAGTCATTCAACCTCCTCAGCCTCAGTCTCCACGTCATAAATTGAGGATGCTGTACCCTCTCAGGGTGGTGATAAGGATTAGCATCTGATAATGCATCCCAGGTATCAGGACACTCTCTTCCCCACCAGCCTGTCTGTTCCTCAACACTGGGCTCTGTGGTCAGGGCCAAGTACTCACGCAGGGCAGAGGGAAGCGCAGGTTGGTCACATCCAGCCCCTTCTTCACGGGCACGGTCATGCGGTTGGGCAGCACCAGGTGGGAGGCGATGAGGTCCTCCAGTAGGCTGTCCGATACGTCACTGGAGACACAGGTCATCACTAGCTATGGGGGCATGTATTCCTTCCCCCATGCTACCTGCCTGTGCACTCATCCCCAGAGCTGGAGCCAGGAGCAGAGCTTGGCGGGGCAGGCCTGCCCAGGATGGATGTGCATGTCTGTGTATACAGCGTATGTGTTGGAAGGATACATTTTGAGTCTCTACTGAAGTTGTCAAAAGTGAAATTGGGGGGATAAAGATGATATCCTAGGCATTACTAAGCTGAAATGGACTGGTATTGGCCATTTTGAATCAGAAAATCATATGATCTACTATGCTGGGAATGACAAAATGAAGAGGAATGGCATTGCATTCATTGTCAAAAAGAACATCTCAAGATCTATCCTGATGTACAATGCTGTCACTGATAGGATAATATCCATATACTTAGAAGGAAGACCAGTTAATACTACCATTATTCAAATGTACACGCCAACTACTAAAGCCAAAGATGAAGAAATTGAAGATTTTTTTTTTTTACCAACTTCTGCAGTCTGAAATTGATCACACATGCAATCAAAATGTGTTGATAATTATTGGCAATGGAATGCAAAAGTTGCAAAGAAGAATCATCAATAGTTGGAAAATATGGCCTTGGTAACAGAGCTGATGCTGGAGATTGCATGATAGAATTTTGCAACACCAACAACTTATTCATTGTAAATACCTTTGCTCAACAATGTAAATAGCACTATACAAATGGACTTCACCAGATGGAATACACAGGAATCAGATCGACTACATCTGAAGAAGAATTGATACTTTTGAGTTGTGGTGTTGGCAAAGAACACTGAAAGTACTGTGAACTGCCAGAAGAATGAATAAATCTATTCTGGGCGAGTGTAGCCAGAAGCAAGAATGACCAGACTTCATCTCACCTACTTTGGTCATGTTGTCAGAAGGCACTAGTCCCTAGAGAAGGATATCATGCTTGGTAAAGTGGAGGGTCAGCAAAAAAGAAAGGGAAGAACCCCAATGAAATGGATTGACACAGTGGCTGCATCAATGGGCTGTAGTATAGCAAAGATTATGAGGATGGCACACGAGTGGGCAGTGTGTCACTCTGTTGTACATAGGGTTGCTATGAGTCAGAGATGACTCAATGGCACCTAACAACAACAACACATCTGTGGAAAGAGGCAATGGAGAAGCTCAATATCAGTGAAAACAAGGCCAGGAGCTGACTGTGGAACAGAACATCAATTGCTCTTATGCAAGTGCAAGTTGAAGCTAAACAAGGTTAAAAAAAGTCCACGAGAGCCAAAATATGACCCTGATTATATTCCACCTGAATTTAGAGACCATCTGAAGAATAGATTTGATGCATTAAACACCAATGACTGAAAAACAGATGAGTTGTGGGATGATATCAAGAACATCATTCATGAATATCATTTTTAATGGTCATTAAAAAGATAGGAAAAAAAGGAGAAGGTGGAAGATGGAGGACTAGGTAGAAGGACTGCACAGACCCTCTTCAACAAAGAAAAGGGAAACCAATTGACACAGACACAGAAGTTAATCTTGGACCCGAGTCTTGAAGAGAAGGATACAGAAGTAGACTAAACCCCAACTAGCAGAAGAATTTGTGTGAAAATACCAAAAAAGGAGATATACGGAGCTGCGGTATGGCAGGGACCTGAGCGCCCCTGATGGCACAAACAACTTGGACATTACCAAATGGTGGTAGGACTTAAGAATTAACCTAAAAATCCCCTGCTAGCCAGGGTCTGCGCGGAGGACTGTGTACAGTGGCTAGGGAACAAACGGGGAAGGTGAAGAGAAAGGTGGGCTGAGTGGTAGACTTTTGCTG